TTGCTGAAGTTAATTTCTTACTCGAATAGGATGTGCTTCACACGCACGGATTTGCCAAATATTTTACATGTAAAATTATTTTCTAAGCAAACATAGTAAAGACTTTGCGTGTAATTTAAAAATAGAATACACATGTAGCCAAACGATGTATTTTTATTTTACACGTAAACTAATTACTGCCCCTACACTTTACATGCAATCATTTTGCATGTAAAGTTTTAATGTGCGAAGTACCAAACGAGCCCTCAATGTAACTTAAGACTTCTAGGTGGGCGGAAAATAGTTTTCTATTTGAACTCTCACCATACTATATTTATACGTTACTTATTTAACGCATACACTTAATATGTTAAATTTATCACCAGGTAATGGCAGGTATACATGCTCAATAGTGAATAGTGAGCATGTTACTAGAGGCGGTCAAAATTTGCTTAATACGGAGTATATTTTTTTCATTACTCATGTCTCCGTACTTCTGAAACAAATTGAAGAACTTTTTATGACAAATAGTCTAAATCTATTAATGAAGTTATTTTAAAATATTTTTCTGAAAAAATGACAAAACTAAATCCATGATTTGTTTGAAGAAAAAAAACATGTATATTACTAATAGAGTTTCACTGGACAAAAATATGACTAATTATGTTTTAGACAAAAATATGACTAGTCATTTTGTGCGAATAACTACACAATGATCACTATAGTGTATTTTAGAGTGACAAGTCACTAGTAGATGATACTTCACTGGGATTCTAGGAACTAGTCACTGAATATGTCATTTTTAGAATATTTTAAAATAAGTCATATTTTTGTATTTTGAATTTAATTTAGTAATATTCATGGAAAAATGCCTAGTTTGAATGATCACTTAATCACGATTTTATTGCACCCAAAGTAGTTGATGGAATATATGGTCCAGGGACCCCCGGCCCACAGACTCCTGCTTCTCCTGCCCAGGCCCATCAAGCCCAATGAGCACACAAAGCCCAAAAATAGTGGCCCAAGTCTTAAGGAGCCCACGATGCACATATGGGATGCCTTCGGCCCTACGGCCGAGGGCTCCAAATTCCACAGGATAGCCAGATTTATCATACGAAGCTACTGGGAGAAAAGACATAAATCAGGAGCCTTCAGTAGCTAGTCACCCTCGGCATAAGGGTAGCCTTCGGCCACAAGGGAGCCTTCGGCCACGAGGGAGCCTTCGGCTGCGGCTCAATCATCGAAGATTCCCTTTGTGGACAGACAACCACCGTATTTAATGCGGCGTCACATCCACCCACCGCATTTAATGCGGTGCACATGTGAATGCCAGTGCCCCCGATTGAGGTGACCCCTCGAGCCGTTAGATCGTTGACACGTGTACTCTCATCGCATTTATGCCTGCTATAAATAGCAACACTTATTCTCCTTGTAAAACACGCCGAGTTCATTTAATACATTTGACTCTCTCTCTTACTTGTTTGCTCTGACTTCTCTCTAGTTATTCCTCGAATAACCCCTCAGATAAGATACCCCGGATACACTATCCATCAGTAGTCAATATGTTTATCAATAATTAATACTACCGCACCGCATCTTTTAGGGAGAACAATTTTGTTCACCCTCTTTTGAGAGGGTGATGTTCACCCCACCCCTATTTGCATGCCATGTGACAAGACAATACTTTACAATGGCATGACAACCATAGATATAGAGGGGGTTATGTTCACCCTCCTTAGTGGGGATGTACAAAATTGCACTCTCTTTTAGGACCCCCCAAAAGTCTAGAATCGACCGACAAGCTATTTAGAAGAATTTAAATTGAGTTTTTATCGCACTACGATAAATAGTAGAGTTCTAGTTCAAATCTTTGATTGAAATTGAACTCAAAATCTCTCCTTTATAGAACCTTATTATTTCCACTCGGAGAGCTATGCCTTCCAACATTGAATTATTAATATTGCTTCTAATGGAAGTTGCGCATAGAACATGTGGGCGGACTCACAAATTATGTATGCAGCTCAATTGAAGTTCTCCAGAGTTAATGGTAAATTCTTAATTAGGAGTTCAGAATTAGTCGGAAGAAGCGGGAAGTAATAGATGTAGAGATAAAAGATAATGTTCTCTATAACCTTTTTATAAATAGGATGTTACTAATGATTTTGCTCAAATAACTCATTTGAAGTCAATAATCAGTCATCGTGCGATTAAGTTATCTGGATTAAGGTGTTTTTATTGGACGGTTTTGAGGCGCATAACATATTACTAAATATATCATAAAAAATCAAGAGTTAATTATCTAAACAGACCAAAAGAGGGCCGGTGTTCAGAAATAGGACCAAAATAGAAACGTATGTTTCATAGGACATATAATCATCTACTTGGACAAAAATACCCCTATTCAATTATTATTTGAATTTATAAATAAAAATGTATAAAAAATCTGATGAAACCTAAATTTTCAAGAGATTTTTACACAAATATTACCATTAATATTATGGGATACAAAAAAGCGACCAATGATAGGAAACACGTTCTGCAACGTGAGAGTAAGTTAAGGCAAGAAATTATAGTTTTGTTAGTTGAGTTTAAAATGGTTATATTTGTGTAATTTTTTCAATTTTCAACATGAGCACTTCAGCCACCCTCGCCGGCACTGCCTGCAACCGCTTGCCGCCGCCGCTCACCACCGCCGCCACTCGCCACCGCCGCCATTGTCATCGCCGCCGCCCACACCGCCGCCGCCCCAACCAACGTTATCATCCTCTGCCGCCGCCGTCCACCCCGACCGCCGTCCAATACGGTCGCCGTTTCTGCCTTTTAGCAAAATCACAATGAGATTCAGATCTGGAGGTCACCACTGCAACTCCAAGCATCACCACCACCTTCACAACACCAATGTTGTAAATCTGCCATTAAGTTGACAGATTTGAAGCTCAAGATTAATTTAAATCTGCCATTCATATAAATCTTAAATCTGCCAACAAAGATGACAGATTGGTCCTGGAAGAATAATACAAAACTGCCATAAATTTGGAAAACATATGAACTCAACAACCAAATATCCGAAAAATAATTGTCAAAGGAATAAAATCTTTTATACAATCAAAAATCACAAATATGAAACTAATGACAAAAATATTTAAAAACCCATTTACACAAAATCTATTCTGCCATAATCGATTGTCAGTATGCACATTTCTGCCATAAATTTGGCAAAATCTTATGCCATCATCCAAAATCACAGGAAATCAGACATTTTTTAAATTTCACAAATATGAGTCGGAAATACCTAAAAGAGGTCCAAAAATCAGCCAAATGAATGTCAAATCTAAAAAATCAGAAGAATAAGAGCAAAATATGAAAAATGAATGTTGAAACCCATAACGGAGGAGGGGGGGGGGGGGGAGAAGGAGAAGGAGAAGGAGAAGAAGAAGAAGAAGGATGGAGGAGGAAACGTGACCAAACAGCGGCGGCCGGCGGCGCGCGGTGGAGTCGGGGCGGTGGTGATAGCTAAGGATGAAATCGACGATGTAGCATGAACTGTACGGTGATGTTGATCGAACTGTTGTGCAGTGAAGAAAAAATCCATTGAGAAGAACGAGAGAGGGAGGATGGTGCGCAGGAGAGAGGAAGAGAAGGATGTGCGTAGAAGAGACGCTTGATCGGTTAAATGAGGGGGTAAGAATGGAATGAAAAAATCCGTATGTTTTAATATAGGAGTGATATGGTCCTATTTGGGAATAAAAAAGTCCTGTTTTGGATTTTTACCCTACTTTTACTCCTATTTGGAGTAATTTCTAAAAAATCAATAGTTAAATACATATATAATACATATTTACCAGACAAGGTCAAACTTTTGAAAACTAGACAAAACCATAAAAGTTTCCAATTAAAACGTCCTAACCCCACATTTTTGTAATTTGTAATTTATCATATACTCTGGGTTTGACGTCCATGTTTACAAAATTAAAAAGTAAATTTATTACCTTTTTATTACTCCCTCTGTCCCTGATTGTTGTTCCAATTGCGGATTACGAAGGTTGACCGACGATAAAGTTAAATGATCCTTGTGAAAACTCGGATTATTTTTAGTAAACAAAATTTACATATTCAGAAACGACATTAAACCCGCTACAAAGCTTGCAAAAAATAATTCAACTTTTATAAAATTTTGATATAAAAAGTAAGAGTTTAAGAGTGATTTAAATTGACCGTCGATAAGCGAAATGAGACTTCTTTTAGGGACGGAGAGAGTAATAAATTTTAGGGAAAACTGTCAAATAGGTCCTCGAACTTTCATAAAAAGGTCAATTAAGTCCTTTTATAGGAGATTCTGTCCGGCCGTCGCGATTTGGGGAAGTTCCCGATGGAATTTTTTGATGAAATTTTTTGAGTATCTTATTCACTAAGTCTAGTTTACTCATACCAAATTTCAGCTACAAATTCAATCGGGAAGACATTCAAATTAATTCTTGAAGATAACTGCGCATTTTTGCGTTCTCGAATTAATTTGAATGCGCTCCCGATTAAATTTTTAGCTAAAATTTGGTATGAGTAAAATAGGTTTGATGAATAAGATGTTCAAAAAATTTCATCAAAAAATTCCACCGGGAACCACCCCAAATCGCGACGACCGGACAAAGTCTCCTATAGAAGGACTTAATTGACCTTTTTATGAAAGTTCGAGGACCTATATTTTTTCAGAAGTAGTCTTCATAGGTATAGAAGAATGAAATTATTGATGATTACTATGAAGTGCTCCCTCTTTATCATTTTATAAGATATTTTTACTATTCACTTGGTCAACACAAATCACTTGTAATCTCTTACTTTATAAATACAAAATTTATGAAATTTGAATTACTTTTTGCAGGTTTTGTAGCGGTTTTAATGTAGTTTCTGAATATGTAAATTTTTTTCTAAAAATAAATTGAATACAGACAGAGATCTATTTGTTTTATCGTCGGTCAAACATCATAAACCGAAAAATATCTTATAATTCGGGACAGAGGGAGTAATAAGTACGGAGTATATACTTCGTATTATTAATATTTGATTATTAAATTATGATGATTATTAAGAATGTATCAAAGGGTCAGATAGACCCTCAAGAAAAAGCCTTTATATAGGAGGCTCTATCCGGCCGTCGTCATTTGGGGCAGTTCCAGATAGAATTTTTTGATAATATATTTTGAGAATCTTGTAATTAAGTATAGTTTAACTGGGCTTTTAACTGCCGACTTCTGTTGGTTTTGAATTGTACAGCCGCACAAACAATCGGTATCTGTTACGGAAGAAACGGCGACAACTTGCCTTCAGACCCGGCGGTGGTCGATCTCTACACCCACTATGGCATCACTAACATGCGAGTCTACGAACCGGCGCCGCCTCTTCTGGCCGCTCTCCGGGGAACCAACATCCAACTTACCCTCGGAATTCCCAACTCCGATCTCCAATCCCTCGCCGACCCCTCCGCGGCGGCCGCCTGGGTCCAAACCGTCATTCTGAGCAACCACCCAGATGTCAAATTCAAGTACATTTCCGTCGGCAACGAGGTTCTCCCGACCACCGTCCCTGACGTGGCCGGATTCCTCCTTCCCGCAATGCAGAACGTGCACAGCGCCCTGGCGGCCGCCGGGCTGGACACCCAGATCAAGGTCTCCACGGCGGCGTTTCAGGGCGTCCTAACCAACACCTCCCCGCCGTCCGGCAGCGTTTTCCGGGACGAACTCCGGGAGTTCCTCGTACCCATACTCCAATTCCTGTCGGCGACAACCTCGCCGCTTCTGGCGAACGTGTACACGTACTTCGCCTACGTGTCCGATCCGGTCCACATCCCGCTCCAATTCGCGCTGATCAATCAGACCGCGCCGCCCGACCCGGCCGGCTACACCAACCTCTTCGACGCGAGCCTGGACAGCTTCTACTACGCTCTGGCCAACGCCGAGTTCCCGGGGGTCGATGTCGTGGTTGCCGAGTCCGGGTGGCCGTCCGCCGGCGGCGACGCCGCAGAAGTGGGGAACGCTTTCAGTTATTACCAAAACTTGCTGAATCACGTGAAGGGAGGAGCCGGGACGCCGTTCAAGCCGGGGAAGCCGATCGAGGCTTACTTGTTTGCTCTGTTTGATGAGGATTTGAAGACCGGAGCTGAGACGGAGAGACATTTTGGGCTGTTTTATCCTAACCAAACAGCCAAGTACTCTGTTCAGTTTTAGTTTGTGGCTGCATTAGTAATGATGTTGTATGTGTAGGTCCTCCAAAGATAAATTCAAACTAGGGATTGATAGATATAATATGAGGAATAAAGTTTGGCTATTATGTTTATGTTGTTTTGGCAATAAATCAAAGCTAAGTAGTTTTAGGAATAGTGTATTTTTCAGTAAAAATGATCAATATGCCTTTATTCATCTTTTGGTATAAACCTTTATTTTTGTGTGTGTACACTAATAGTTCATCTAAAACATACAAATCATCTATGTACACGGTCATAAAAAGTTTACATCAAGCACTGTGGCACGTAATAATCAATTAGTCTTGTCGTACACCCTGGGTTACACCTTTTTATTTGTCATTCACACAGACAAAAAAAAGTATAAATACCGACGCTTTCGACAAATTGTTGGCGTGAACAAAATTTGATTGTTGGCGTGAACAAAATTTGATTTGTTGATTGATGTACCTTTTTTGCAGATCTGTCAGGTTGGTTGCACAGAGATCGGGGTCGGTGTACACATACATTAATTGTTAGTTATCTATGTAGATACAAAAGTGTTTGTACACATACAACTTTTGTCTGTGTACACAAACATTTGTCTCAATCAAGTGTCTATTTTTTCTTTCCACTACACCATTTTGTTGAGGTGTATGAGGACAAGTGGATTGGTGTAAAATGTCATGTGAGCTTAAGAGGGAGGAAAAACCAGAGGAGAAATATTCCTTGGCATTGTCACTCCTTAAAATTTTGATTACTGTTCCAAATTGTTTGCGAATTTCATTAAGAAAGCAGGAAAAGATAGACAAAAGTTCAGAACGGTCCTTCATTAAATAAACCCAAGTACACTTGGAACATTCATCAATGAACGTGACAAAAATATTTGAAACCAAAAGAGGAAACCCGACTTGGTCCCCAAACATCGGAATGGATAATAGAAAATGTAGAATTACATCTAGACTCAGAATAGCTGGGAAATGAAGATCTAACATGTTTCCCGAGCTGACAAGATTCACACTCTAAGGTTTGAAGACCGTTGAGTTCAGGAACCATTTTCTTTAATTTTGCTAGATGTGGATGTCTGAAACGTTCATGCAAGAGTTTGGGAGAAGGAGTAGCTAGACAAGAGACTGGTGATTTGTTTCCAAAATAGTAGAGACCTCTATATTCATATCCTTCTCCAATCATCTGACCCGTTCCACATTCCTGTATAACAAATGAATTAGCATCAAAGGTTACAGTACAGTTCAATGACTTTGCTAATTGGCTTAATGAAATGAGGTTAAACGGACATGTGGGAACAAAAGGAACAAATTTTAAGTTCAAGATAGGAGAAAGGGATACTTGGCCAATTCATTGGGAAGCTGTTTTGGATCCATTTGCCATGGTTATAAGATGTGGGTGTTTAAGATGTGAGAGAGAAGAGAATAGAGAAGTATTACCAGAAATGTGGTCAGAAGCACCTGAGTCAATTATCCATGGATTTTGACTCTCTACTGATTGGGAAATGCAAGCAGTTGATGTAAGCGGAGTTTTGGAAGATTATGTTGAGTTGTTGGACTTTAGTCTCAAATACTCTTGATATTCCTCACCAGATAGTTTTGGATCAGAAACTTCATAAACTTTAGATTTAGAGAAGTTGGCGGTTTTATTAGGAAACCCATGAAGGAAGTAGCAGTTCTCATGGGTGTGACCCATTCTTTTGCAATGGGTACATTGGGGACGTCCTCTTCCTGCACGTCCTCCTCTTTTTGCACGACCCCCTCTTCCATGAAATACCATGGCTGAAAACTCTGCAGGTTCTTGAGACTTGTCACCCTTGAGAGTGGAAATCCGAAGGAGACGTGTTGTTAAACTGTCCATGGTTGGTACCTCAGATCCAGTGAGGATTTGATCTCTAACGTGATCGAAATCAGAGTTCATGGCTCGGAGGATCATTACCATATAAAATTTATCCAGTTTCTTCTTGATTTCCTCCACAGATTCAACTTCTAAGGACATTTTGAGTTCTTCGGCAGCAGCTTGCGCTTCGGCAATGAATGACATCATATCGTGATTTGTCTGTTTAAGAAATGCCAACTTATCGGCAGCATCATATAGGCGCTGAATATCATTTGCAAAGATCTATTGGACTTTCTTCCAAAAAGTCTTGCAAGTTTTGAAAGTTCTGAGGGTCCCTAAAATATTGGGTTCTACAGACGTCCATAATAGAGCACACAACTGATAATCTAACCTTTTCCATTTTTCAGGTTCTTCCTTGATCTCACTTTCATCTTTTTCAAGATGGTCATGGTACCCTTGTCCCAGAAACCAAAGTTCCACAACAGCTGACCAAGACATATAATTTTTCCTATTAAGCTTCTCTGAAGTGATAGAAGGAGTTCCAGAGAAGAGTTGGGTTGGTCCGGAAGCCATATGGAAACTACGACGTTAGGTCTTGGTTTGCAACGATGAGCAGCGGCCAGGGCTGGATAGAGATGGCAGAACCTGCTCTGATACCAACTTGAATAAAAGAGAGTTAAAGGAAGAGAATAATTTCCTGGTTGTGTGTCTGTCCATAACCCTGAACTCCTTTATTTTTAATAATGAGTGTACAAGTACATTAATGAGAGTGAGGAGATGAAAGGTCAAATAAGATGAAAGATCAGTTCTAGAAAATACAGAGGAGTCTATTTAGCTACCAATAAATCTTGATAAATCTAACAGAAATATTATTTGAAATATGTGTTATCAAAATTATATACACCTCTTCATCATTAATACAAAAGTCTTATTTGTAATATAATTCATCCGGACGAATTAATCTCAATAACACTTCTTTCGTGTGTAGCAAAGAACCAAGAAAAATGAATTTTATCACAATCCATGACCTAAAAGATTGATCTAGTATTGATAAGAGACCTAAAAGACAAAAATGTATCGATATAAGACCTGAATAAATGAAATCTATCGATCTAAGAACTAAAATATACTCCATAAATCATAGATTTTGATTTGTTTAATTTTTATTAATTCTATTACTAATTTTGATGATTTCTTCTTCAAAAAAAAATTATTAATTTAATAAGCTTAAATGATATTTCATTTTTTTTAAATAAAAAATGTAAATTCATAATATTTTATATCTTACTCGTGAGTCTTTTCCCTTAACTACTTTCATTATTCCACGATTGAGTAGCTAAGTATAAAAATAACGGTAAACAACAATGACTTATAATACTGATAATAAATTATGATTTACTTTAAAATTTAATTTTATAGATAGTTTATATTGAATTTAAGAATTATATTAAATTAAATTTAATAAATATTAACATGAGGGGCAAACGGTGAAAATAATCAAAACTTAGGGGGTAACTAATTGATTTTTGAAAATGCAAGGTTGCATTAATAATTATGGCATAACCTCAGGGGACTAATAATAATTTTCCCTTATTTATTCTGTATTTAATCATTATTAGGTAACTTTTGACTGAAATCGGCTTAGATAAATAACCAATAAAAGTTTAGAGTATGGGTCAACTGACAAAAAGAAAACTGATAATCGTCATCCCTCGAACCAGACTCAGAATTAACCGACGTAGCAATATGATTCGCTGATCCATAACCGGGAAACAAAAAGCCTAACTCGGTTACCAAATTCCTCTCATCCCCCACATCCAAAACCAATGTCTTACAAACCAGAACAGGAAACTAGAAACAAATCCAAAAGCAACAGCAAAAATTAACGAAATAGAAAACAAAACATAATAAATAACATCCTTTTTGCCACCAGAACACTAGAATCAGTCTTCCAGCTTTCGGCCTCACACCTTCAACCAATGTATCCGGCGGGCTTAAGGAATCAAGCCCGCCTCCTCCCTGTTTTTTGCCCCATCAGTGGCCATGTTGTTCTCCTCTAGTTCTTCCTCTGTCTGGACCTCCCAGATCTTCCTTCTTTTGGAGGCCTCTTCCTTTGGCACCTCACCTCCTTGTGTGAAACTTTGAGCAGATTCTGTCCTTGCCTCCTTCTCTGGACCGTCTCCCGATTTGCCAGAGCTCGATGAGCCCTCCAGGAACTCGGCTTTCCCTCCGGTAGGGCTGGTCCTTACCCCGCTACCTGCTCTAAGATGAGATCCAAATCTTTTTTCCAAAATCAAACCTTCTTCATAATTCAGAGGACAAAAATTATCTGAGTGACCAACCATACCACAGATAAAGCAAAAGGTGGGCAATCTTTCATATTTAAAATCCACCCAAAAACTTTTGCCATCTTTTTTCAAATTTGTCCCATTCTTTAGAGATTTATCCATCTTCATAAGAACCCTAACTCGCATGTATGGCTCTAATTTTTTCTTTTTTCTAATAATCATCATATTTGACAAACTCTCCTAAAAAACTCCCAACACGTCTAGCAGTGTCAATATTTACCAGACTGTAAGGCACATTATGAATCTGGACCCAAAATTCAGCCTCATTCAAAATGATTTTGTGTGGTATATCATCAAAACCAATCTACGTTCATACTGCCAAGGACCCCCATCCAGAACACGTTTCATATCAAAACGATGATTAAAAGAAAACACGTACCTCTTTTCCCTAATTTCCTTAACCGACATATCTTTCCCCGGCCTCCAGAGAGTAAACATCTTTTCTTTAAGCTCTGCAAACTTGACCTTGCGGTCAGTCAGCACTTGCCCGAGCACCGAGAAGCCCACTGCCGCTTTCTCCACTGGAACGTCTTCGATCAGCCTCTCCATCGTCAAGATTTATCTCTCCCTCTTCGCCTCCAATCGCCATCCGCTTATATCGATCAACAATGTTCTCCATGAAGATATAGAAGGCTTCGCCGTAACTCTGAGTCCGATGAACCAGCCACACCGCCTGCTTTCGTCCGAATGATCTTGTTAAATAACCAACCTCACCGCCCCTGCTACCAATCCGAGACCACCGTTCTCCTAACCAACCGTCTACGCCGCCCCCTCACCGCCTTCCTAACCAATAACACTCGCACTCCGAAAAATGAAGGCGGACAATCCTAGTCGTAGGGTTATCGGCCGATAACCCTAGAGAGAATTCCGTACTAGGCTAAAAAAATTAAAGAGTTAATCATTATTAGGTAACTTAAAATGTTCTTGAAGTGACTTTCTCTTAGAAAAATTACTCAATGTAAATTTAAAAACTCTCTAAATTTGTTGTACATCACATACATCTTGTTTTTACGGAGTAAGAGATTTATTAATTAGTACAAAAAACTACGAGATAATGACTTGCCTACCAAACACACGCTAAGTGTTCCGGAGTACATGTTTTCTCTTAAAAGTACTCAAAATCAAATTACGTATACTTAAGCATGGACCATTGGACCCCAACCTGGACCAGCCGGTCTTTGGAAAAATATACAGAGGACGAGGTGTGAGAACTCAATTTCCATCTACACCTCTTTTAAGCTTTTAATTAACTAGACTTTCAACTCTTATGAAATGTTCACCAATATTTATTAGCAAAATAATAATAATAATAATAATAATAATAATAATAATAACAACAACAACAACAACAACAACAACAACAACAACAACAACAACAACAACAACAACAATAATAATAATAATAATAATAATAATAATAATACCTCCGTCTTTTAAAACTTTGTAAAAGTTGACAGGCACAAAGAATAATAAAGTAAAAACTGTGTGGTTGAACCGTTGAAATTTGTGCAGAGGAGAGAGAAATAACAGAAACCAGAAACCACAAAACATCTGATTAAAAGAGAAAGTGACAAAAATTTTTGGGACGTCTCAAAAAGGAAAAATGACAAAGTTTTATGAGACGAAGGGAGTAATTGAAACCGGTCCAATCCTGAACCAAGTCCCAACCAGTCTCAATTTCAAAAAATGGAGACCCACAATCGGGACCTCTTTCCCACCGGTCCATTATGATCCCAGATCGGAACCTTATTTTCCAATTCAAAACCGGGTGGTTACGAGACCGGATCCATGCCTACTTATACTTGTTAAATATCAACTTCAAAATTATATATTTCCTTTATTTATCAAACTCACTTGTCCTAAACATGGTGGATGTAATAGGAGACTAAGAAAAAACACAAGTACCCATTCTATCACACGAGTATGAGACATACCATTCTAAAATCAAAAATTCCTTTTGTACACGTTTTTGTACCCATCAGTACACGCATGTGTCTGTGAGTGATTTTTTTTGTCTGTGAAGTGCGGTCCACAGACAAAAGCTGGTTTGTTTTGTCTGTGAAATTTTCTACAGACAAAACAAGCGAACTTATGTCTGTGGACCGCGCTTCACAGACAAAAAAATACTCTCACAGACACATGCGTGTACTGATGGGTACAAAAATGTGTACACCAAGAATGGTTGTTCTAAAATTAAACCCGAAGCCTATATTTTGCCACATGAACAAAAAGGTGATGTCTTTTAACCCTAATTATAGTTGATATACTCCGTAAAATCTACAACGGAGTATTACTCTTACAAAAAGTCACAGTAGTTGTACAACCCATTCGATCAAATACAGTAAAGTTTTTGTGAAATGGTTGATATAGGTATAAAAGAGCAATTTCACAGAGCTAATCTATGTAAAAAAGTCACTTGTCCTATATATATATATATGCATCAGTTATTGCTGTAAGTAAAATGTCCTGTTTGATCCTGAAGAGATCTTCCTTACAGATCTTTACTTCTGGTCTTTTGGCCTACTATTCAAACTTTCTGTATAAGAAAACACAAAGTACCAAAAGTTAGAAAGAACCCCACATCATTTCCTTTTTTGGAAAATGTGTTTTAAAAGAAAAGGTAAATAGAGAGGCAGGTTTGGAAATGGTAAGAACACAATCTTACCAAAATTTGATACCCTTGCTAACCCGAGGTCAATTATAGCACACCTACTACTACAATCTATGGCTTCTTAATCAGATACCCTTGCTGGGTCTAACTAGTTCAAGAACTTTTGTAGCCTGAAAGTTTAAGAAGAAAAAACGAGGTTAGTCAAATTACCCGCACATCTTCATACAACGTGTTGAAAAAAAGGTGCCACCCATTCACGGCCGGACAGTTTCCCAAAGGTTTGAATTGAGCTCTAATCGCAAATGCGGATGTTCTCCAAGACTATAGCAACAATTGCAAACATTAGAAGGATTGTGTATAAATGAATCAATATATGGGAAAATTTTGGCTTTCCAGTTTCCACCCCATAGTTTATTATCTTCCAATGATGCACACCCCAAATTCTAACAGAACGGCCTAGTTAGAATATCACATGTGGTGCAAAGTAAAATAATGCAAGTAGGAATCAAAGTCAAAACCTCTCATACATGAAATAAAAGAAATAAGGATGATTAGCGTTTTTTATGGAGATATGAATATCACCTGTTATGAAGCTCAGAACTATCAAGGTTATCATGTTGCTTATTGCCACTATTTTCATGTCCACTATCGTTCTCTTTCTCGTTAATTTCTGCCTCATTGAAATAAAGCGTGTTGAAATCTTAATGCAAGAAAACTATAAATACAAATCAAATGAGGAATTAATCCGCTGATCAAAGTGTTTAGAACCAACCTGCTGTCTCATTAAGACTGAAACTATGATGATTTGGTGACTGAGAGAGTGGGAGGATGGGAGATGAGCTGCCAGGCTGGAACTCATTAATACTCCCTCTATTCTTCATCTCATCAATAAGCTGCAAATCCATTAATCGTCTGCTCTGCAGCTGGATGGTTTTCTGCAAATGAGCTTCATGCTCTAACATTCTCCTAAGTGTAGTCTCCTTTGATTTGTGAAACATTCTTGGCCCTATAAAAGAAAGATAGAGAACACACTTAGGGAATGCATTATAAAGCCTCAAGAAAGTAGCAAGAGCTTACCAAATGGAATGTCAAGGGGCTCCCTAGAATCAACACCGGGTGAGCTTAAACTTGTTGATGACTTTCCCATATCCAGATGGAGCAGTTTTTGCTTTCTAATATTTTACAATTATAAAATGAAGCATTTTAATCCTAGTGAGAGACAAATCACACTTACATTACAATTTAGAGGCGGTGGGTAATTTTTTAACAAGTACCTATTCTTGTCAGAGGTTTTTCCCATTTCCTTGTACGGTTTAACAAGAACACGGGAGTCGCACACAAAATGAGGGTTTCCTTTGGCTAAGATTAGCTTCACAGTGTCCGCATAGACAAACGTAACAAAACCAAACATCCGCTTCTGCTGAAATGGAATTCTAACATCTTGCACTGGCCCATACATACTTCAAAAGTGAAACATTTAAAAATTAAAAGCAATCATCAAACAAAGAAATATGTAATGCTAGCATAGTAGAATTTTATAAACACAAGAATCAATCGATTACCTAAAGTAGCTAGAGACATCATCTTCAGTGAATGTGCTATCAGCTGGAAATGTCAAGTAAATCTGACAAGAACTTGGATTTGAGTACCCATCTGAATTGCCTCCCACGAGATCACTGATCACCGGTCCCGACCTGAAATTCAGAAAGAAAAAACAGATATGAGGCCAATGCAAGGCTTTCTATTTCAAATTTGATGGTTAATTCACAAGGTTGTTGCCTAATAATAGACACGTATGATACAACTTAGATTGCAGGCTTGTAGGAATAGAAATGGAAAAAAAGTCAAACTTTTTAAAGTTTAATGATTGCAATGAGATGATCAAATTAATAAAAAGAAATTATTAATTAATTGCTATATATGCTAAAGAACATACATGCCAGCATTTAAAAACTCATAATAAAAAATGAGGGTAAAAATATTCAGAATTTAATTTGAAATTGTAAAGGGTAAATTCTCATGTTGACTCATAATACACACACATTGCAAATTCAATTGTAGTCTAGTAGAGATAGAATGGCCCCAAAGTTTTATAAAAAAGGATGGCCACAAAGTCAAACTTTTTAATATTTACTGATAAAAAATGAAATGATCTAATGAGTAATGGGCAATATATTTAATTAATTGCTATATGTGCTGATAACACACATTCCAGCAGAAAAAGAAAAGAAAATTGAGGGTAAAAAATACCCAGAACATAAGAAGAATAACTATACTAATGTAACCCATCATAACACCAAACTGCTTAAGAAACAAAAATCAGCCTAATTGAACAGGATACCTTGGACTGTCGTTCAAATTACCCAGGCGATCACTGTAACTGAGGGGGTATCGACCATCAGAAGCCATGAGCATAGAAGCAGCAGAGAGCCTCCGCTGCTGAAGGGCATTGATGCGAAGAAACTCTTCAAGAGAAGTGTCATCTTTTACAGCCAAATCAGCAGAAGAACCATGCAGAAACTTGCGATTGTCGAAAACCGGAGGCCCCCAAACTCCGTCGTTACAATCAATGGCGAAAACATCATCAGAAGAGCACCTCCGATTGTGATGCTGAAGAGTTAACCGGTTTCCCTCAGTCGGTAGAAACCCGGGAGAATCGCAGGACTCGTTAGCAACCGGCAACCGACCAATGGGGTCGCCGCCGCTGCGAGAAAAAGGAGCCGAGGAACCCGGAAGTCCAGACCCGGGGCTTCTCGAGAAGACCGGGGAGCCGTTGGACCAGGGAGATGACCGAATCTCGTTCTGGGGAATCGTGACCCTCAGGGGAGGCCGGTAAAACGGGCCCAAACTCGGGGAAGAAGGAGAAGACGAAGCGTTCGACGAAAGTCCCAGGAAAGCTTTGGCTTCATCGATGATGGAGAGAAGGCGGGCGTCGGGGACATGAGCTAGCCTGATGACATTCTTGTCGCCATGCTCCTGCAGCAGAATGAAACCAATTATTTTGTGGGCATTTTGTGGCTCGAAGGTTTGAATCCGGGAGAGAACTTTGTTGAGAGCTTCGGGAGTATCCATGGCTACTGGAGCAGGGAGAAGAGAGTGAAAAGTAGTAGCAGACGCTCTTCTCGGGGTGGGTGGGTGGGTGGGGGTGGGGTGTGTTGGGGGGGAAGAGGTAGCGTTTTCCCAAGTACAAATGCAATGATGATATGATACAATTGGTATGGGGGGTTTGAAGTGTTGACGGGCGAAAGGGACTCGTCTTCCTCTCTATAGTGTGCGAGGAGTAGGGCTGCGGGGCCCAATAGTCAAAACGTAACTGTTTGGCCACTTCATGCGAGAACTTTACGCGTGTTTGGAGAGGGGTTCACGCTTGTAGCCACTTTTCAAACTCCATTTACGTTTTGACTGCGTTGACCACCACTATTCCCTACTATGGGAGACTAGTTTTTGGCTATTTCATCGATAATTTTTTTTATTACGAGTATATTTTAAATGTAATTTTTTCATATCGCAATCTAGGGATTCTTTTCCCTAGCGATTCTTATCGAGTTATCGCATAGGGTTTGGCTCTCGCCGTCTTGGTGCGGCGCATAGTTTTTTTCGACGAAGATGGAGGATGCAGCGGGAGAAAGGCGCAGGGATGATCGAGTCCATAAGGGTGAATTGGTGGACATGGTTGGCGTGAAGATTTTGACCTGCTCAATTCGATGACATGGATGTGGGCTCTACGGCATATACGGTACTGATCAAAGATGTTGGTGATTCTGAATCCGAAGCCGGGGGAACAGCGAGAGAGGGCATCAATCGAGCGAAGGTTCGACCTCCTCCTAAACCACCGCCAGAGATTGATCGAGGTGCTAGGGTTCAAGATAGTTATTTTGCTTATCTAGTTTTTCTCATGTTTTGTCTTCCTCGATGAATTTTTATTAATATTTTGTCCTTTGTGTTCTTGTTACTGTCTATGCTAGGTTTGCCAGTTTGTTTGCGTTTTTTGCCTTTTTGTGTTGTTTGGGTCTGTGGGAACTGGGAATACGGATGGTTGTGTCAAGCCCGATACATGGTCGGCGATTTGTGTGACTCTTTCAGGGGTGACCGTCTCCAAGTCTGGTCATAGGATTTACAGTCATAGTTATTGGTGTTTAGCTGGTGCCAGGTTTGTTTCTTCTTTGATTGATGTAATGATCCTGAAACTACTTATGATATGAAAAGAGACCAGTTTCATTCAAAAGAAATGTAATTTTTTCATATTTCAGTTGCAGATTCAGCCAATTCGAACAGTTAAGAAAGAATTACACCAATTTTAGCATATTCGATCAATTCCAGTGTTACTAAATGAATTCTAAGTTTTTAAATATGTACATATTGATTCATCAAAAGGTGTTTAGATTTTTTTAAATGAAATTAAACACATATACAAAAATGTGACTAAGGTTACAATGAGTGTACGCCATAGTCCCTATAGTTTGAATTTGAATATGTAATTATAGTAATTAAAAGGTACCAATATAATCACTACATATCAGAGATAACATTTTTGTCCATCATCTTTATTTTAGTAATATAGGAGTATATCTTTATTTCTATGGAGCATAATCATATTCTCGAGATTTAGATGATATTGCCCAATCATTCTCTAACCATTTCACACTGCCCTATAAAATCATCTTCTGAGAGAAATGACAGTTAATCGTCTTTGAAGCGGGCCCCATTGCTTAAATTCAATTCCTAAAATAAATTTGCCAAATATAGATATTCATCGTGATTGCTATAATTGTCTCTGGATTGAACGCTCAAAAATCAGGTTGACCGAAAAGTGTGGACCCGTCAGCAAAAATGCGGAAGGACGAAAGTTGGGTTCGATTGGTGAATATAACAATCATAATAGACATATGATGCTTGATTTGAATTGGGTGATTAATAATATTTTAGAGTAATTAATAGGGGTGGGATTTTGGAACCGGGAACCGTAGAACCGATTGGAACCGAACCGTTAACAACATCTAGGAACCGAACCGTTAACAATTAATGTTTCATTTGTAGGAACCGAACCGAAGCGGGTTATAACGGTTCGGTTCCCGGTTCCTATAAAAAATATGTGCATGGAACCGTTAAGGAACCGTTATTAAAAATAATAATAATAATATTAGTAGTAGTAGTAGTAGTAGTAATAGTAGTAGTAGTAGTAGTAACAATAATAATAATATAATAGCAATAATAACCACCACCACAACCACTATAATAAAACAATATAAGATATTTAACTAACAATTCTAATTTAATCAACGGAAAAGAAGTAATAAATATTGTACATGAGGTTGATATAATACATTAAACTCCTTTCTACAAACTTAATGTTTTGAAAGACTTGAAGTAGGCGTCATATTCTTGCTACTATGATGATGAGTAACCTTCATCGCTCCGACACTACAACGATTTTTAATGTTTCGTTTATTACATGAAAATTTAAATCACTTTTGTTCTATTAAGTGTTCAAAGTTCATTAGTTAAGTTTGAGCTTTGATGTTTGAAGTTATTAGAGCTTCAAATAAAATTTTAATACTCGTGTTTTGAATTTTCGACGTGTTTATGTTGTTTGTAGAAAGTAAATTATGTGTTAATTCTTAGACGAGAAAAAATTATTCTAGGAACCGATAAAAGGAAGAACCGAACCGTTTACTACCGGTTCGGTTCCATAACGGTTCTTGATTTTTTATATAGGAACCGAACCGATTTCATTAGTTAAAAGTTTTATAATGGTTCCACTTATTTTGAGTAAGAACCGAACCGGTCCCAGCCCTAGTAATTAATAATATGACTGTTAAGGGTCCTAAATGAGTCTGCTTCAGTTGAGCCAAATTTTGGAGTTAACAAATATCCTTGAAAGAAGGCGCACTGATAAAAGTATATAGACTTGGATCCATGGTCTCAAGACTATTGGGCTTGTACAGTGACCCCACACACCCTGTAGATATCTTTTATATTATTGTACATATAAGTTTGTTTATTTATAGCCATTAAATTAGATTTTATGTAGTTGTACCTATTAGGCCCATATCAACAGTCCGACCCACATTTCCTTATGTGTATCTTGTACACTCTAAGATCATTCCTTCCCAACACTAATACATTTCTACTATTCATCTTATTCTCTATCTCAACATCTCTCTAAAATATTATAGTTTGTATCCAACCATTCATCATGCACTTTGTTAGTATGAGCAATACTTTTGAGTAAATAGATTTCTTCATGGTGTTATAATTACCGCACTTAGGAACACAATGTCTGCAAGTTATCAACAACATCGCATCACTCTTCAAATCTATATGATCCCAGCTCACTTCCTTCACCCAGCTTAATGCTTCCTAAAATGACGACGCCTCCGCGTTCCTTGGTGTAACATCCCCTGGTCTATTGATTGCACCGTCTGCTACAAAGCACCCCTCACTCGACCTCGCCACCCATCCCAGTCATATTGTCTGAGCCTTTTCTAACAATAGAATTTGTGTTAATTTTTAACCTTCCTTCTTTCAGACTCATCAATATCTCAGGCGTCTTGAATATGCACCTAGACTAGCTATTAATCCCCTAAGCTTTCTGCAAGCTTCATAAAAACATAGAGCCACTGCCACTATACTCTTAGGTGATGTTGAAACCTGCCGCCAGAACCTTTCATTCCTTGCTTTCCACAATTCCCATATCAACATTATGAACTTATTGCAGCATTCTTCCTTAAATTTGCTCAAAGTATTCTCTATCCATTCTACAAAGCTAGTATAAGCAACTATATGAAACTTCCAATTCATTAAATCCCAAACCTGCTGCACAACTGGACAAAGGCCATACATATGAATCACATTTTCCATTCCCATTGAGCATGACGAACAAACCTGTGAGCAACTCACATTTTATTCTTAACGCCTCTACCGTTGGTAGGTAGCCGTAACGTGGTATATCCCCTATATGCCTCTCGTCAGAAATCTATAACTGCTTTTCAATGAATAACAGACCTGTATTGTCTGGTACTTGCCTTTGACTTACCGGTATTCCAATGATTAGCTTCTGGTCCCTAATATCAAAAATATCATTTATAACATCAGTATCCCACTCACCCCCCACCATCCTGACAGTATCCCACCAAATGAATGAGGGATTGCACCCAATCTTTGCCTCTAAAAAGGAAGAATGAAGAAAATATCTTATTTCAGCACTCTGACTACCAGGGATAAATTCTCCAAGATTGTTTCCCTAACATAGTCAGATTGAACTCTCTGATTCTTCTAAACCCCAAGCCTTCCTTCCTCCTCCTCCTCCTCCTCCTCCTCCTCCTCCTCCTCCTCCTCCTCCTCCTCCTCCTCCTCCTCCTCCTCCTCCTCCTCCTCCTCCTCCTCCTCCTCCTCCTCCTCCTCCTCCTCCTCCTCCTCCTCCTCCTCCTCCTCCTCCTCCTCCTCCTCCTCCTCCTCCTCCTCCTCCTCCTCCTCCTCCTCCTCCTCCTTCTTCTTCTTCTTCTTCTTCGAAATACACACCCCGTTCCAATCTTTCCAGCGGATCCCCTTTCCAAATGAACTTGTCCACCACAAACCACTCGTAATCCATTCCGGCTCTATACACATTTCTCTTGGAAATAAAAAAAAACATTCATGGCATAATTTGGCATGGATTGCACCGCAGTTGTCAAGAGCACTTCTCTACCCGCTTTAGACAAAAATATGTGACTCCATCTATTCAACCATTGAACAAGACGCTCTTTAATAAAGCTTAAAACCTCCCTTTTCCTTCTACCCACTAATGAGAGCAAACTGAGATACCTCACACCCATTCCCATCGGCCCTACTCCTAAAATCTTCATATGACCCTCCCATATTACCAAGTACTTCATATGAAAGAGTCGCCAAACTCATTGGCGACTTCAAATCCACCATTCCATTAGCCGCCTTTGGTCTACCATGAGTAGATCCAACGGTATTTTGGTAAATAATTTTAATTCGACTTTAATGTCATAAATATTTGTTTATTTGGGATGTTATCTTTTGTACTGGAATTTTTTTGTCTGGCCTAGTCTGATATGATCTGGTCCGTTTAAATTTGGTCTGTTTAAATTTGGTCTGGTCTGGTCTCTGTGTATTTTTTAATTGTCTAAGTTTGATCTGGTCTAATTTGGTTTGTTTGATTTGGTTTTGTTTAAGTCTGGTGTGGTCTGTCCTGATCTGTTTAATTGCAGTGTAGTTAGAGTTGTGCATTAACCGGGTCAGACCGTATTTTAGACCTGAACCATTCCGGTCCGGGTTTCGGTCTTTAGTTTTTCAAGATTCCGGGTTCCGGTCCGGTCTGGGTCAAACCCATAAAAACAGGTTCAGACCGGAATGGACCGGTAACCTATTGTTCCGAAAAATATATACCTCATTCTGTATCATTAGTCATTATGTTTAAGGCTTACTTTTGTCTTTTTATTTGATGTATTTTACACAGAGTGTATATTTGATGTCTAATTATTTCCTAAGTTGTTTTTTATTTGTTTCTTTATGTGCATGTGACCAGGTGTGCATGTAGTTTATACATCGTATATTTTTGGACGTAATTTAGTTTTTATTACTCTACAATAGATTTTGCCATTTTAATATACACAAAAGATTGTAGTTTTAATTATTGTGGGAAACTAATTGTTACGATTGAATAGTTTTGATGACTATATTCCGAAATCAATAAATGAGCTTAACAATTATTTAGTCTATTTAGTATATCTGCACATAAAATTATAGTTTGAAACAACATTCAAGCCTTATTCCTAAAAAAATTTGGAGTTAGCTAAGAACACTCTAAGATGATGTCTTTTTTTAAAACCGGGTCAATTAGGATCAAAACCGGACTGGACCGGAAAATTCAGATCCGAACCGATCTGGACCGATTAAATTCAGGCCCGATCTTCAGTCCACATAAAATGATGATTCTAGTTCCGATCCTAACCGATTCCGATCTAATCCGGTCAGGTTTTGGTCCCGTGCACACCCTTAGGTGTACTATGAAAGCTCGTGTGGTCTTGAACGGGAAACAGTAGAATCTAAAACATGGAAAATTCGACATTGAAAGCTCAAAAAACAAACAAATGGAGAGGGAGACAGAAAATGAATCATCGCCTTAATTAAGGTGTTCTGCTACGTTTTCTTTCTGCGAGAATGACTGCGTTAATTGCTCGAGTTCTCAATTGATGGTTTTCTAACTCTACCTGCTTAAGGCCTGTTTTTCTATCTAATGACTAGTCATCGTCGCCTACGAAGTAAAACAGCGTCGGATCTAATAAGTCAATTGCCGGAAGATGTAAAGCACAGAATCCTGGAGTGCTTAAGTTAAGCACTCAAGAAGCTGCCAGAACTGCTCTCATCTCAACTCAATGGCATGATGTTTGGTTGCAGCATGGTCGTCTTGTCTTCGACTGGAGCTTAAGAGAAGATTTAACAAAAGATGTAGACGAAGAATCCTCGGCCTTAGTGAAAACGATACCTAGCGTTCTCTTGTTCCGTTCTGGACCTGTTCAGAAATTTACCTTCTTTGCTTGTCAAGATGAACCTACTGTGCCGAAGTCTGATTTAGATCTGTGGCGCCTTTTTCTATCCAGAAATGGCATTGAGGAACTTAAACTCTCTATTCCGGTTCATGAATACAGTGAAGAAGCACACGCTGCCGTTTTGTCTGATTTCTTGCCTCACAATTAAGCAACTGGAACTTGAATATGTGGATTTTTGTTTCCCTGCTAGTGCTCGACTTGGGATTATATTTCCCAGTGTCACCTATTTAAGGTTTGATACGACTAAGTTTAAGCGTAATGCTAGTGGAGTTCCCCTCAAGATTCCTAATCTTGAAGAGCTGGTGTTTTTTTATTGTATTGACATGGACAATTTCGTGATCAGTGCCCCAAAACTTAAAAGCCTCACTTTCACGGAATGTTCGCTTGTGACGGAATGGAGATGGTTTGAGCTTCACTTTCCTGTGATCAAGACTCTTATGTTTTGTGCACATATGTTTACAGTGAGAACATGGCCTTTCATAAAGTTTTCTTTCTTTCACAATGAGTTGTGGAAATACATGTTTCTTTGCTTGTCTTGTTAGTAAGTTCTTGTCTCACTCAAAGTTAACTCTTAGTTTTGTTTTAGGAGGATTCTATGGTATCAATGTACCTTGCCTTTGTTCACGTGGTCCAATCAAAATGTTGTATTTGAATTATTTAAATATAAATTAAAAATAATATAATGATTTGGACCAATCAAGGGAATGATAGGTATAGTGTCCCATTTTGTAAAAGGGTACCGTAGTTGTCACCTTTGTTTTATCCTATTTTTTCTCTATTTAATTAGGATCATGGTGAAGAATTTAATGTGCATGAGAGGTTCCCAACTGCAATAAACTTGCAAGTGATTAAGATGGATGATTGCTGTTTTGCTTGCCCAGAGTGCTTACCTGTTGTTATTCAATTTCTTAAAAAATGTCCAAACCTATGCGAACTGGAATTTGGTCACGGATTTGAGGTACAAATACCCAACAATTATCCTCTACGCTCGGTGATTAAGATCAGGATTTCAATTTTTTTAAATATTTCTCTTATGTTGTTGTGTTGCAGGAGGCACATTTGAGGGGTGCTGATCTAAGTATTTTGGAAAATCCAGATGATTGGTTTAATAATCAAGATCTGTGCAAGCTTAAAACAGTTAAGATGAGATCATTTAGAGGATTACGATCAGAAATGCTCTTGATCAAAACAATTCTTTCAAAGTGCCCTAGACTTGAGGAAGTTCTAATTGAAGAATATAATCGTGTTCATGCCCCCGTGGCTCTCAAAACCACAAGGGAGATGATCAGATTCCCTCGCGCATCTCCAGTAGCACAAGTAATCTTCTTGGACACCGAATAAAGCTATACTCCACTGGCTGATTTGTTTCTGCATAATATTAGGCTATTTGTAGCAGTTCAGAAGGCGTAGTTCCATGGGTTCTGGTTGTGCATATAACATCACAGAATTTTGATCACCTGTTATGCAAAATATTTGGGTTGTATCTAATATGCCTCAATCTCATTTTGTGACTGAAGGTTTCTTCAATTTTCATTTCATGGTTGCAACTTGAAACTTATGGCTCAGAAAGTTCGAGCAATTTTGAAGTAACATACTGAGGTTTATTGGCTTTTGCTTTGTACGGAGGTTTGTTTCTGCTGATATATCTCTGAGACTGTCTATCATCAAATTACATCCTGGAGAGTATTTGGCTTATTTCTTTATTACTTAGTATCTAAAAATATTCAAAAGGTATCTTTTCTCAATAGGGTAGGTACTTTGTGAGTACTTCGTAACACTTATGGAACAATACCAATTCATGTTCGTGCTTTTCTCTCAATTCTTTCTTGTGTTAAGTTTAAATTTAGTCTTAAAAGATATCCGAAGTTTTCTGTTTGGGAGAAAATAGCGCTTCTTAGTATTCCAGTTATGCCTTTAAGGGCTGTGTTCAATATATAGTACTTTTTTTTTTCAAAAGGAAATTTTTATTAATGAGAAAAACAGAGTACAAAGAAAAGATGAAAAAAGAAACAGAAACAAAAATGAATACAGATGCCCTGCCCAAAGTATTAAATTATAAGACACCCTATAATTTATACCATGATTTATAGTTTGCCTTTCTTGTCCAAAGCAATTACCACAAGTCCACAACTGTTGAGGATACCCTCCCCTCTTTCCACTACCTCTTTTCACTTGCAAACATTATTCGTAGTATCATTAAAATCAACTATGACAAGCTACACAAGGTTATTCCGGTTTGCCAGATTCCGAAGTATAGTCCATGCTTCCCTACTACTGCCATGACCACTCGATCAGGTATGCCATAAAAACGCATCATCCACAACAGTCCCCCTCCTCTAGATATACGAATAGAGCAGTGAACCAAGAACTGATTCGTCTCTAGTATCTCTCTCTCGACCAGTCGACCCCGTCTCACCAAAACCGAGCTAGTCCCCCACATAAGCCTCAACTTTCAACTGCCGCTATGAAACCTCAAACTGCTCATAACCCCAATGTCTTCCTACCTCTTTTTCCATATAAAAAGATGACTGTTGTTTCTCATTCTTTAACTATGTCGCATTGAAAAGTGTCATTAATATAACTAATCTACCATAAACCAAGAAGAGTCAATGTGTCGAAATTTTGTCGAATGCAGATGATGTAATTTTCATAGTTTATTTATAGAAATAATTACATAAATATGATCAAAATAAAGATGGTTTACAAAAATATGATTCATTACTAGAATAGTAATGAAATCATAGTAATTCATGTTCAAGTTTTGAACTTTAGTTACCACAGCACTACGTTGTAGTAATGAATAGTCATATTTATGTAAATAAGTTTTACGGAGTATTTTAGTAGTATTCTTGTAATAAACCCTTATTTATAACTAGTATAGTACCCGTGCATACGCACGAGAAAGAGGAGTTGGTGCATATATTTGTAATTATTCACAAAGTACTTAAATATTAAAATGAAATAAGTTTTTGAGATTTTAGATTTTTCAAAAATAGGAGCCCAATAAGCTAGTATCATAAAGTAAAGCCCGTATAATAAATATTAAATGAAGAGAGTATTAGGGAATTTTTTTCGACAGAATTTGTTACTAATTAGTTTTTATGATTAAATTTATTTTAGAATGGCACTTTATTCTAAAAAGTGAGTATAATATGTTAGTGTCACAAAGCTTAAGCCAGCACAATAAATATTATAAGTAACAATTATTAGTGAAATAGGAACTTGCTACTTATGGAGTTTTGCACATGGATTAAGATAATGATAATTGTGTGATTAAGAGTTGTGCAAATATATGTAAAAAATGTTGTGACCTGGGAATTCTTTGACAAAAGGGAAAGAAATGATTATTCTGGGATGAACAAAAAAGAAAAAAGTTAGAAGAGCATTCATGGAAAGAGGATGTAGTAAACCTATTTCATTTTATTCATAGATTTTTAAAATTTGTATCGTTTTTTCTTATTCATTTTTAATTTTTTCTTTTTCTATTATCTGATTAAAAATTGAATAATGTGATTTTCAAATTCATTTAATTAACTGAGAGGAAAAAAATAAATACTGATAGAACTTTAAATCAATTTCAATATGACTAAAATATTTGATGTTCTAAAAGAATTATTTCATTTGATGTTCTAAAATATTGACCACAAAAAAAAAGAATTATTTCATTTGATGTTTTAAAATATTCAAAATATGTTGACAGTAATTATAGTCTCAATTGTGAAATCATTATAACCTTTGATCGGAGCATATGCTAAAGGCATTCATAATCTCAGGCTTGATGACCTCAAATTCTACTTCAACTTTTTATTTATTTATTTAGGCTTTCAACGAAACTCTTAAGACCTCGTGTATGAATTTTTTATTGTCCCATATACCAGAATTTTCTAACATTTTTCAATTTCAATATTCCATTTGTTCCACGTTGTTAGTCGATTTCAAATTACTCATCCAAACAATGAACTTCTTGAGGACACAAACCGTTTGGGTGACTTGGATAAGATCCAAAGAACGTAAAACTTAAACAATATTTGAAAAAATACATAGATGCTCTGCTAACAATTTGTCAAACATGTCTATCATAAAACAAAAAATAATATATGAACACTGAAGTAGTTTGATGAGTGACTAAACTATTAAAACTCAATATGTTGTGAATCTTCCATTATGTAAAAATTATGAACTTTCATTGTTAACATATCAAACGTTTCTATATGAGAAGAATATGTAGAAAGCAAGAAAAGAAAAGTAATTTGATATGCATCGGCTTGAAAGGAACCTCTTCACCCAATATCAAAACTCAAAGCCACCATAGTAAAGAAATAGCATCATAAGAAATCAAGTTAAAAAAATAAGATAAGATAAAATCCAACCTAGATTTGCCATATGAGATTGTCTTGCTGTTTATAAAAATTCCATAAAACTTAAATACATACCAAAAGAAAATCATAAATGGTAAGGATGAATGTGATATAAGCAAGATTATTTACTAATTGGCACCCAATGTTAGTTAAGGGACTCTCTTCTATTTACCAAACTTGATGTCAACAATATTATGCTTTCATCCATGTTACTCCAACTAAATTGAATGCCAACTGCTAAGTAGGAAAACATCGTCGTGTATATCATATTACTCTTATTAACTCAAGCTCATTTCATTCACTTGTCGAAAAGTATATATATTAAAAAATCATGAAGTATTACCCACATTTACCATTGTACCCACTCAATTAAGATCTACGTCTTTTCTTGAGATGAACAATAATTTTTTAATGATAATGAAAAGTACCAGAAGCACTTAGGAGCACTTTTTGGAAGCACTTAAGACTTAAGAGTGTTATGGAAACCATATTAATTGCACTCTTAACCTTTTGAAAAGCAGGGTTTACAACTTGTATGTTCTAATGTTCTAAGCAAAGCTGTTGAGCTCAAGTATTGTACTTGAGGTTTTCTATTTATTCTTCCCAGTCTCACTTGTAGTTTGACATTTTAATAACTTTACTGCATTCTAGTTAAAGGTTCCTTTAACTTGTTTATGGTCAATCATTGAGCGTAATATCTAAATTAGTTTTTTATTTTTTATTTTTCGTTTTGAAACAAGGATGACATCTTTCGCTAGTCTCCCATTATCCCATACCAAGTTCTCTGCTAAATTTGATCTTTGTTTTACTTTATATTTTGTATAGAACTAATGATCTCATAAACATTCTCCATAGATAAACAGTCATTGTATAGAACTAATGTTTTTCTTCTTCATAGATAAACAGTCATTGTATAGAACTAATGATTTCATAAACATTCTCCCTAACCATTTGTGTATTTTCCTAATATATATTAGAATGTTTTAACAATAAATCAAAACTGTCTTTTGTTTTTTTTTTTTTCATATTCAAAAGATGCCCCAAATAGAATGGCTGCAATGAATAATTGGACAATCTTTTTTAATAACCTACACATTGGGAATGTTGTTTAGAGACGATGTCATGGAAAAACCTAATGGAAATAGAAATCAAATAAATTAGATACGATCATATGATAAAATTGAAAATTGTTGTATAGATGCTCACGCAGCTAAATTGTAAAATATGAACATAAAATGTAATTCATGTTTTAAATATATGAGGAGCATAACTCAAACATAATTGTACAGAGTTGCATGGAACATTACATTTACACTGTTTATAAGAATGGAAGTCGTGATTTGAAATGCTTTGGTAGATTTACAAGGGATTGAGCGGGTATAATCGTTCAAAGTTGACCAAGTTTTAAACATTGCAAGATAGGTTGGTCTTCTATAGCCTTAAAAAGTGATATGGTTCAGGGTGAGGTGCAACTCGGGTGTTACATATGTGCTAGTAGAGATGAAGTCAAATTAGCTTGGATGCATCTGAAACTCTAAATTGAACTTATAAATATAAATATTTCACATTACTCATTTAAGCAATAGATCTTTTGAGAGGGCACAAAACCATCTTTTGAGTAACTTAGATAAACTGCAAAAATGTAAAACTACAAAAGTTAATATTCATATTAGAAAAACTGAAAAGTACATAGAGCACTACTGAGATTTTGTCAAACATGTCCCTCATAAAACAAAACAAAATAGGCAGGGAGGTAGTTTGATGAGTAACTAAATTATCAAAACCTCACATGTTTTGCATATTTTATCATGCATAAACTATAAACGGTCATTGCTAGCAATTAGCATATCAAGCATTTCTAGATGAAAAAGAAGATGAGAAAAGGAAGAATAAAAAAGTAATTTGATGTGTGTTTGCTTGAAGCCTACCGGGTTAAAAAAAGATGTGTGTTTACTTGAAGGAAGAAACTCTTCACGGTAATGATAAAAGACCTAAAAAATAAATCTTTGTTAAAAAAATCATAAATGGTGACAAAGAAATTGTGTGGATCATAGTACCTTTACACATGTAGGAGACTTTTACCTCTAATTTCTTACACACCCAAAGCAAGTTCAAGCTGACATAAACTTGTGATTTTGCTTTTTGTTTGAAATCTCAAAAGTGCAGAGTGCATCAATAGAGTGACCAATGCACAGAAAGAAAGTCTAAATCTACTGGGTATAATGAATTGCAAATAAAATTAAAAAAGAACTCTTTGACATACATAATGACAAATAAGTCAAAGTCTCTAGTTTCAGGTATTAGAAACTAAAAAATGTAAG